GAGATGTTCACTTTGCACACTACATCAGTCATGCAGGTTGAGGAGCTGTATGCCGTAAAGGTGGACAGCATGTGTGTGTGTGTGTGTGTGTGCAGCTGCCGGTTTAAAAGGGTTTGCAGGGGAATTTCCCTCTTTTCCCTTTGTGAGAAACAAAAGTGTTCAATTCAGGGTCTGTCTTATCATATATCCTGTCGGGCTTCTGTACGGAGGGAGGAAATCTCACACACACATCCATTAAAACTAGGGAGGAATTCACCAAGAATGAATTTAGCCCGCTGATAGCATTGTTTTTGATTCACTAAAGGAATTATGCAAATCAGGTGACACCACAAACACACAAACCGTCTTTGCTGGACTCACAAATACCCTTTATACATGTCGGTTGTGAAGGATGCAGCAAACCAATGTGATCGGGTGTGTTTTGCAGGCAAAACTTCACTGCAATCTACACACATGAAGTGTGTTTGACTGGTTCACACATCCAGATCATCAGCGGTAATACTCTTCCCCATCATTTGATGAATTACTGCTGCCATGATCATTAGAAAATGTACACAAAACATTTATTTTAAAATGAATTTCAGGCAAACGCATTGAACACAATATGCGATAGGCTGCATTTGCATAGAAAGGAGACATATTTGAACAGAACAGAACTGAAGTAGACAACGCAGTGCTATTTTAGCACATTTTGTACCTGATTGAGATGGATTGCTGGGAGAATAAGATGCTTTGCACTTAAATTGCTCTGAAAAAAGGAATTTGCTCCCGCTTTTGGATTTGAGAGCTTGACAGGTGACACCAAAATCCTGTCATCATTTACTCACCCTCATGCCGTTCCGAAGAGGTATGACTTTTTTTCTTCTGTGGAACATTTTTTGTCGGTTTGTTCCCAATATTCTTCAGAAATATCTGTTGTTTTGGAATATGAGGGACACAAACCAAAACATAAGAAATGAATGAAAAAATTGGCAGCAGTGAAACAGTCTTCACAATATGATTATAAATATAACTAGATGATCCACTTTCAAAGCCACTGTAAAATATTGATGCACATCAGTTGCTTGGAAACTATAAGCAACCGTAACAAATGGCATCAAAAACTAAAGTCAACAACAAAAGTGTCTGCGCTCATCATTTGGTTGGGTGTGTATGTGTACCTGAAACCAGGTTATAGTTAAGTTTCTGTCTATTTCATTGTTTTTCTCTGTCTTTGATTAGCTCCATATCAAGGTCAGAGGTCATCTCACTCTCCCAGTCTCACCATGCATTCTTTCCTTTCACTCTTTCTGTTCTTCTTCAGCTACAAGACTAACTAAAATCACGTTATATTACTCGCTCGTGCCCGGTTTAGCCTGTGAAGGTGTCGACGTTTTAGAAATACGGCTTGGCTCAAGCTGTTTAGCACACTTATTCTTCACCTTGTGGCACAAACACTCCCAGTGGCACATGTGTGTGTGTGTGTGTGTGTGTGTGTGTTTTTGTACCAGCTCGTCTGCAAAGGCAGTTCCTCACACCTGATGGGAGTAATTGGGCTCTTAAAACGGCACAGAGGGGCTCCTTAACCCCAAAGCAGACTCGAGAGCCGTCCCTCTGGTATTTGACCCTTCAAACTTTTGGGAAAGCAGAGAAAGAGAGAGAAAATGGGCCTGAAACTTAGAAGGGAGAGTGAGATAAGAGGAAAAAACCTTACCTGATTCCTGGATTTGAATGTATCATGTCACGTCTGTATGCTTGTATTGTACAGAGCTTAACTGATTAGAATGGGAGAGATAAGTTTAGTCGCTTGCAGTGTGCAGTGTTGGTTCATTAAGGTGTGGTTACTTACATTCACCATTTCACAGGCAAAATCCAGTCATTTCAATAGGAATCTGCACAATGCGGAGTTTCACGTGAGGGAAAAGTAGCTTTTTTTCACGGATTTGCTGTGTTGACCAACAGAAAGCTGCTTGGTTTGATAGTGACTTCTGTGTGAGCGGTGCTTCATACATCGCTATTGACAGTGGACAGTCAAGTCAAGTCGCCTTTATTTATATAGCGCTTTATACAATACAGATTGTTTCAAAGCAGATTTAATGCGAACAGAGTTCACTCCGGCTGTAAAGCAGCTCTATTGTTCAGCTGAAGTCAGTTCACTGTTGATTTTGTACGTTATAAAGGTCATCAAATATTAAATTACTTCATTTCATCTATAAAGCAGTTTTCCAGCAAGGTGTGACTATGACATCAGTTAGGTTGGGTCGGTGCGGTTGCCTGAATGTTGCTATGCGGTTGCTAGGGTGTGATTTAGGGTATAGATATCCTTTCAAGCAAGTCTGATTTACCTATTTAGCCTGTTCTGTCTTCCACCATGTGCAAATCATTTGATCATATTTAGTCTGAAAACTAAAAGCACACCTCTCCTCAGAAAGCCACGGCCAATTTAAGTTATCATTAGTTTGTCGCACATGCCAAAGTTGAATACTTAGGGTTAGAGGTTTGTTCAAATGCCATAATAATAGTAGTTCTTGCCTTAGCAAAGGCCACTAATAAATATATAGGTGATGTTTCTCTTATTACGATGTGTGTAAATCACTGTTGCACCTGGAGAACCAGTGTTTGCAAACCCTTTTACAGCCCCAATCCCTCCTCAAAGTAACCTGTTTCTCATGAGCGATACCTGTAGTTAGTTTGTTAAGACAGATGAGTTCACCTTCACATGAATATGTGTATTTGTGAATGAATTGCTTGTGTTCACTGTGCAGTATTGTTCCTATTAACTATTTCAGTGACATATATTTGCATATTTGCGTCGTCTTGGGTATCATTTCAGCTCTCCAAAACAACATACATAAGTCAAGTCAAGTCAAGTCATCTTCATTTATATAGCGCTTTTAACAATGAATTGTTTCAAAGCAGCTTTACAGAGAAACATATAATTTAAGGTAACATAAAAAAATATCAATGATTTTTATATCTAGATGACGAGACATTTGCGTTTTAAAAAAAATACTTTTACATTTTCCATTTTTGTCTGGGATACTGTACCATTTTGCAACTCATTTATCTTGATTTAAATTCTTGTTCATTTGTGGATGTTGGAAATGTGTACATTGGTGAATTATTCTTAAAGTCTTGTTCAGTTTTGAGTATTTGACCGCAGTACACGTGAACATGTCCCTTTCCAGCTTCAACAAACTTCACACGTGCATCTTGCTCTCTCACACCCAACACAACTTCTGAAATTTTAAAAGTCAGTCATTTGTCATGTACATGAAGAAATCAGCATTATAAGACATTGTAATACTTCCCCATTCATAGGTCTCCATTTGAAGATTATATTGTTTTAACACATGATCAACAACAATGCATTATCCTTGTTTAAAACTTTGATTGTATGTCTGAACATTTGTATGTGTTTGAACCTCTCAAACAAATACACACACATTGATAACACTTTTCTGGGAGTCTATACGCATAATACCCTATAATGCCATTCATGATGCTTTATGATTAGAAAGCCATTAATTATGCTTTTAAACGCCTTTTCATAAATAATGCAATAACATTTCAATACTGTCAACATTAACATTTTAGTTTTTTTTTTTTTTTATAAATATATACGGGAAAGTATATAAATAAATATATAAGGGAAAGTAACATATAAATTAATTTTGTGACTGGTAACCATTTGTAATTAACTTTTGCCTTTACTAATTCCTTTAAAAAGTCCTAAAATATAAGTATTTCATGTGGCCTCCCAATTAATATGGGCTCACTAATTTTTAAACAAATTAGTAAACATTGTGTTTAAAACCGTTTTCAATAAGTATGTCAATTTTCTAAAATATAGCTCATGTTTACCAGCCACTTACTTATGAACGGTTACACCTTAACAAGCATTCCTACCTGGAAAATGTGCATTCTACCTTTTAGAAATAAAACAACACCACAAAATGAAATATTTAATTGCTAAATTATTTGAACTGACTATGAAACTCATTTGTCTTGATTAAAATCCGTATAGATGTTCCAAATACAGCCCACTGTGAGTGTTAATGTGCTGGAATATAATCACTCTGGAGTTCAGGGCTAACATGGGCCCAGAGACAGATTTATTAGCACGGATTCACGCCACTTGTGCGGATATTCCGTTTCTGTCTTAATCGCTCACGGCACACTTGATATTTGGTTTCAACTTCATAGAGCTGAAGCAAACATTTATACAGAGTTTCTGTTTTCAAAGAGAGACTCCACAGCTTTCAGTGGCATTTCTCACTTTTGCTGGGTAATATATCAACAAAAGAGCGCCGTAAATCTCACGAGAGAACAGCGTCCACTCTCCTTCCGGTCATTTCCTGACATCCTGTCTCACTTTGCCTCTCTCAATCCCTCCATCTCTCTCTCTCCGTTTCCCTTGACAAGTAACCAGACACCTCAAACTCTACTTCCCTAGTAGTGTCAGGTTAACCAAAGTTAATCAACATGAGCCTCTGAGGCTTCACACAGCATTGAAGACGTCTTCAATGTTTAAATCCCCCCTTTCGATGTATAACAATGTGAGCAGAGAGGAAAAAGTAGATTTGATTCTTGTAAACTACAGATAAAGTAAATATCTTTTGGTTGCACGTAATTTCAATAGTCCACTTTAGACATTCTACTTGTTAACTGACAGTCAATATTAGTAGCCTAATATCTGCTAACAATTTATTTTTATGGTCCCCCAACAGACATTTTACTGACTATAAGCAACTCTGCAACTACATATCAACTTATTCTACTAACCCGAACCCTAACAGTCTACCACAGTCTCTAAGGAGAGTTAGTTGACATGTAGTTGCAAAGTTAGTAGAGTGTCTAAAGTGGACAATCGAAATAAAGTATAACCTCATGTTTGACTAGCTGCTCCTTTATATGACGTCTGTTATATATTACATCACTTATCCTCGTAGTAGTCACTGTCTGCAGATATGTTTTAATGACAGCACCCTTTAAAATGCATTGTGTTTCTCTATCTCCAGGTAATGGACAACATGGGCAATGTGAAGTTCTGTCTGGATGGGGCTCTGGAGGCCAGTGGGAGTTGGCTCAAATATGTGCGCACAGCCCCGTCCCATGAAGAGCACAACCTGGCCATGTGCCACATCAGCGAAGACCAGGTGAGCTGAGAGTAAACATTCGTTTATGTCACGTCTCTTCTCTGTCATCTCCACTGTCTGATTGGTCGTCTACTCCCTCAAGCTGTTGTATAGGCTGTTTCTGGTGAGCAATGCACAATGCCAAAAGTGAATTTTCCTTCGTTAATTGTATTTGTTAATTCACTAGTTATTGAAATAATTATGACAATTATGTTATTTTTTAGATCATTTTGGCAATTTAGATTATTTTAAGTAATATGATCTGAGAGGTCATGCCGTGACCATATATATTTAAAATACAGCTCAACCAAGCGCCTTGTTTTCATAAAATTGTTACTTTGTAATAAAAATGTTATTGTCATTAAAAATGTTTTATTAAACAAAATTGTTAAAAGCCACCCAGAAGATATAGTCCTGACATTTTTTTTTTTAATTTACATTTACAAATTTACAAAAACAAATTCAAATAAATGTTTTCTATTCATCAAAGAAACAAGTATCACGATTGCTACAAAAAATTAAGTAGCACAACTGTTTTCAACATTGGTAATAATAACAAAGGTTTCTTGAGGACCAAATCAGCATATTAGAATGATTTCTGAAGGATCATGTGAACTAAAGAAATCAGTAATGACAATGAAAATTCAGCTTTGCATCACAGGAATAAATTACATTTTAAAATAATTTAAAAATAGAAAACAGTTATTTACAATAATAATAGTTCACAATATTACTATTTTTACTGTATTTTTAATCAAATAAATGCAGCATTTTGGGAAAAGAAACTTTTAAAAAAAAAATCGGTAACACTTTATTTTGATGGTCCCTTTTGAATATTCTGTTTGGCCATAAGTAACTTTGCAACACCATGTCAACTAACTCTCAGTAGAGTATTAGTAGACTGTCTGATTAATATCTGCTAACACTTTATTTTGATGCTCCACAGCAGACATTCCACTGACTATAAGTAACTCTGAAACTACATGTCAATTTATTCTTCTAACTCTAACCCTACCAGTCTACTAATAAACACTCTAACTAGAGTTAGTAGACATGTAGGTGCAACGTTACTTATAGTCAACAGAATGTGTTAAAGGTGCTCTAAGCGATGTCACAACATTTTTTGTCACATACAGCAAACATCTCCTCACTAACCGCTGACTGCCTGTCCCCTGAACACACTGTAAAGAAACGCGATCTCTGTAGACATCCCAGGCTCCACAAACAGCAACAAAAGCAAACTGCGGCGACCCGCTCCCCGAAACATAACAAACTGTTCCAGCCAATGACCGACAAGAAGGGTTTGGGGGGTTAGTGTGCGGATGAGGAGGAGGGAGGGTCTAGCTAGCCTCCGTTTTGTTTGACAATGGATCGAACGTCAACAAGAAGTGACGTCACCCAGGATCGCTTAGAGAACCTTTAAAGGGAGCATTGAAATAAAGTGAAACCAAAAAATCCTATTAAACCTAAAGTTTTGAACGGTTGTGTATTTTAGTATGTCTAACGTTGAATTGACCAATCAGCATCCAAGGCCGAGACGATGCATTTATAAATCCGTTTATGATGTAAATGTCTAATAATACCATCTCAGCACAACAATGCTTCTACAGTGAACGCGTCAAGTCTAAAATCGCAGCAGAGCGTTTACTGCAGTCATAAATGTACACAGGTTGTTAATATGTATTGCAGGAGCACTGTTTGATCACATGCTTATTTTGGTAGTTGTTATTGAAATACAGGAATCATATAATAGGATGGGGTACCTACAGTCTAGTATCAGTTTGAGCCGTTTTTAAGAGTATATCAGAAAATCCCCATCATGAGCCTTTATGATGAGCATCCTGTGAGATGCTTGAAGAGACAGCGAGCACGTTACTGTCAGGGAGATGTGGACAGGACCCGCTGCTGTCAAGATGTCACCACTTAGACAATAGATCAAAACAGCCTATTGTTTGATGAAGGCTGTTCCCACTCTTTTTCAGAGGAAGTGACTCAGAAGTAATTTACAAGAATCACGTACAACGCGAGTTTGGACACTCCTGAATCTTGTAATCCACTGTCTTCAATTATTTGCTTCCTTTGAAAAGACGAGCAGTTGTCTGTTTGAGATAAGATATCTGATCTCTCATAAAGCCGGAGATCTCATAACAGGCTCGTTGTCTAGCCGGAAAGATCGCTGTGTGTTTACTGTACGGAGGGCTTTGTTCAGTCAAATCCTACCAGGAATTGTGCTGATGCAACTGCTGCGGAGGTCTTAATCTGATCATGAAGCTCTTGTGTAGTTGTTGTTGAGTGTGGATTGTTTCCTTTGCTTACATGATATCTAACTGATTAAGTGAGGGGTCCTTGGTGGTTGCCTTATCTAGCTTATATTGCTCACTTTCTTGTTTAAAGGGACAGTTCAACCAAAAATGCTAATGCGATCACCCTCTTGTCATTACAAACCTGTATGAATTTATTTATTTCCTCAATAGGCAGAATGTCCTAGCTGCTCTTTTCCATACACCGAAAAAGACTGTGGATGAGACTGTGAAGCTTCATAAATTACTAAAAAAAACCACCATAAACAGCAGGTTCTCACTGCCAACTCGTCACATATTGACGCTTGGTCGGGACCCCTCGGAGTCACTTTTTAATGCACCCTTTTAGCACCGTTCGTCATGTCACAGGGTACTCCATTGCTTTCAGTTGTTTGCCTTGTGCGTCAAATCAAGACGCATTTCATTCTTTGCATTTGTAAAAGTAGAAATGATTTTATAAATATTTACACTTTTATATTCTGGAGCAAATAACCCCGCTCCTACCCTAAACCTACCCACTTCTTAACAATATAAAACACGTAACAGGTGAATAACACAAATACTATAACATTTCAAGTCTTCTGAAGCCATACAATATTTTTATGTGAAGAACAGAGTGGACCTTTTTAATCTCTAATAATCCTTCTCCGTGAACGCACGCAGTCATATCTCATTCATAAGATACACGCTGCGTCCAAAATCAAATACTTCCCTGCTATATAGAATGTGAAAACCAGCACGCCAAAAGAGTAGTATGTCTAAATACATAGTATTCGAAAAGTTCCCAGATGACCTGCTACTTCTGGCGAGACTCTGAAGTGTGCATACGATGGACACTTTACTGTCCCATTAGGCCACGGGAGAGGATTTATGAATGGAGGCGAGTAAGTGCGGATTACATTCATACTACACATATCCGTACTATGTAGAACGTACTTTTTTAATGGTCGCAAAGTAAGTTCAAATTCAAATGTACCTACTCAGACAGTATTCGATTTCGGACCTCGTTTGGCCTCGGAATTGTAATCGTATATTTGTACTTTTTGAATAAAGTGTGCCTGTAGTTGTATCTGCCCGTTATATACTGTGTTTTATGTTATATAATACACAAATGGGTAGGTTTAGGGGTGGGGTTTGGTTACGTGTTCAAACGGGTCTAAAGTAAATCAAATAAATGTAAATAAAATCATACTTGCTGATTAAATTGAGAATCACACCCCAACATGTCATAATGGCAAAATTATAACCCAATACATAATTTCATCATGACATCCCCATGTCAAAAAAAGGTTTTTAACATCGTTAAAAAGTGAAGCTGAGGGGTTCTGACCTAGTGTCAATAGGTGACAAGTTGGGAGTGAGAAAGTGTAACAATGTCTCAACCACTTGTGTGCTATACTCCAAATCTTCTGAAGTCATTTGATAGCTTTGTGTGAGGAGGAAATCCAAAACTTAAGTCTTATACAAATTCAAATCCACTATCCCATAAACTAACATTTTTCCAATAACGTTAACAGAACGGTCATTCAAAGTTATCGGGTGTTTACACTTTGAACGCTCAGAAATACCGTTTTAATGGGAACATTAGCAAAACGTTCGTAGAACATTGGCTGTGTCCGAAATCTCCACTCAAACCACTACTCCCTAACCCCTATGTAGGGGGTAGGGAGTAGAGCACTATATAGTGAGCTCACCAGCATAATAGAAACACCACTTTCGGACACTACTCGATCGTCTCTCGGCGCCGTTGATTAAACGCGCCATCATCTGTCAGCTGGTGCCGAGCCAGCTCTGGGCTAAATAGATTTTTTTATATATAAATAGCTACATTACATTATATTGAGCTTATTTCTCCAAAATTGTAAAATTAAAAGTCATTTCTGGCCGTTTCTGTTATAATGCGTTACTCCACGCGTGATTATAACTTATAAACATAAATAAAATTAATACACATATTTCATATATTTTCATTTTCGCGCCACACCGTTTTCTCTTGCCTGTCGACATTAGAAAAAAAAAAAAAAAACAGATCCACGTTATCAAATATCTTGCTCATAATACTCTTAATAAAACAGCTTTTAGACTCTGTGGAGATGCCACTCAATATTTATCTTTGTTTGTTCTCGTGATTCAGAAGATTTTGTGGATTAGCAAAAGAAACAGGATTTCTAGACACAGAAAACGACGTGCTGTTCCTGCTACGCTAGCGAGACGTCGTCAAAGTGTAAGTTAAAGATGAAGATGATGCTGATAGGTCTTTTACGATCAGCGCAATGCATGATGGTATAGGGCTTGGGTTAGTGACCATCGGTTGTACACTACTTTTCAAAATGCATTCTGGGATACATTGAGTGGACTATATAGGGTATAATAATAATCACTATACATTCGGACAGCCCTACAAAATGGCGAGCTCACTATATAGTCCACTATATAGTGAGTAGTGGGAGATTTCGGACACAGCCACATTTGTGTTAGCTGGGGGTAACTTAAATCTCACTTGTGGTGTTAGACATTCAAATGTGGCACCTCGAGATTCAATGAAGCACGAAATTTAATGATGTGTGTTTATGCCAAACCTAACACAATGTTTCTTGATGCTTGACGATGAGAACATGGGTGAGATTTTAGAGCCAGGACATTCTGCCTCACTCCTTTTGCGTTCCATGAAAGAAAGTCATAGGGGTTGGAACGCATGAGGGTGAGTAAATGATGACAGCATTTTCATTTTTGGCGGAATTGTTCCTTTAAGTGTGCCATTTTAGATCATATGCATAAGTGGATCTGTTTCCTTGTTATTATTCTGCCACTTTTAGGCTGTTTGTCTCCCTTCAAACAAGCTGATTGACTCGTGGAATAAGCTTTTGTCTCTTGACTAACAGGGGCAACTAGTGTGGCCATCGTAGTTTTAGACGCTGACACATAAAACACAAGGCTAACAAACAGGGGAGGACAGGAGGAGAGGAGGGACAACCTCTGAGACTGACAACCACCAATTGACTTCAACTACATAACCCAATCATTAAAGTCATTTGACTTCAATGAGCGGCCACCGCTGGGCCCACAGGAGAATAATATCTCCAGCTAAAATCGCCCCACTAAATACATGCTTTCTATTTACTTTCTCCTACTTTGGTTGTGCTCCCTTTTCTTATCTTTTGTACACGTTTTTGCCAGTCTTACGGACAACGGCCTATTATTTATTCAGAACGGCGACACAATGCAAAAATGCATAATTCATTGAACTTTGTACTTTGCTGTTCTATTTGAGCATGCACAATGCATGAGCCGTATGGAAATATGCACACGCCCAGCAAATTCTGATGTGCCTGTAACCTTTTAAAATCAACCTGGATCATTTATTTACTTGTTTACGCGTTTGTCTTTTGTGTTCGGGCCCCTGAAAACACGACTCGACTGTGTAGTGGTGCACTTCGCAATTTTAGGCCTTACTTTTTAATGTGTTTTTTCCCTCTTTTTTAATGCTATGGCTGTCATTTGAGGTGTGAATGGTTCTAAATAGCAGTTTTGTGCTGTAGCAGAGCCAGGGTGTTAGTTACAACACTTTGTTTTAAGAAAAGATTATTTTGTTGTGTTATTATAAAGAGTGCAAAATGAACTCTGAAGGTGAGAAGAACCAATCAAAAAAGTGCCAATTTAAATCAGATTTTTACAAAGATGTGTAGGTTTGTATTTAAAGATGTTCTTGCGTAAAAGTGTGTATTTTTTAGGAATGCTTTGGATCACATAATCTGATGTCATCTACTTGCGCTGAGAAAGTGTAATCCGGTTTTCGGAGCAAACTAGGCGCTCTGAGACAATAGGCATAAAGCTGGTGGACGTATTCTGGCTTTCGCACAATGGCGTGGTCCATTCAGCAAGACTGTTGACCTCTGACCCCCCCTCCCTCATCTCTCAAGATGCACTTAAACTGTTTGTCAGAAACACTGAAGTGCACAGCCAGATCTGCCATGCCATAGCCTTCTGTTTCTGAAGGGCTGAGGAGACGCGCGCGCACACACACACACACGTTGGGTTTCCATGTTTTATGGGGATTTTCCATAGATATACCGGTTTTTATACTGTACAAACTGTATATTCTATCCCCCTACACTAACCCTACCCCTAAACACAACCCTCACAGAAAACTTTCTGCATTTTTACATTTTCACAAAAACAAATTCATGAGCTGTTTGCATCAAAAAATGACCCTACAAGGTCAAAGATTTCTGGTATTACTATCTTTGTGGGGACACTTGGTCCCCACAACGTAAGGTTTACCAGCAGACACACACACACACACAAACATTCAACAAATATAAGATGGCTAAATTATTTATTTTGGTCAGAATTGAAAAATCAATCTTATTTATGACATTGTTTTTGACAAATTTTCATGGTAAAAATCATTATTATATATATATATATATATATATATATAAATAACATAAACTTACTGTGCATGTATGTAACACTTTCATAATTTTCAAACAAGCTGAAATTGTCTGCATTCAATTACTTATTAGCTACTGACTGATAAATGCAATATAATTTATGTATGTTTGCTAGAGAGGAACTTGTAAAAATAATTCCCTGACGTCTAGTCGTGCAGTTTAGTTTTTATAAGGTTTTGGCATTTGATCAAAGAGTTGAGATAGGATGAACTAAGATAGGATGAACTTTGTTCTGATCTTGTCTTAGTGAATCATGTCAGAATCAGAATTAGATTTTGAATGGCAGGCGAACATGCACACCCAAACAAAAGTTGTTTTTACATTTGTGTTTCCTTATATATTCACATCAGTGTGTGTCCGCTTGCACTTATATGAATGTGTGTGTGTGTGTGTGTGTGACAGACAGGGGATTATTGTCACCTAAGTGATGGATGATGCATCGGCCCCCAGCACTTGAAAGCATTGTGAGGGGGTCAAGATGGCCCTCTCAGTGCTGTCAGATCCTGAAAAGATTTACTGTAGAGACAGCTTAGCCCCATCATAATAGATTGCTTTAGGGGTGAAAGGAAGGCATTCCACCCACAGCAATGACAACTAGCCGGACTACAGCACAATCTGACATCCAAATTTATCTTTTAGACCAATGCAAGTTTCAGTCTGATACTTTTTATGTCACGTGTGATGTAATTATTTTATATATGTAATTCCAACGATTACATGATTTATTCTTTTAGTTATTTGTTGATTCATTGACGTTAACAATCTATATTTGAAATGGCCTAAAAACAACCGTTATAACGGTAGCCTAAATAGATCAAATCCGATGCACGAATTATAATTTCAGTTGAAATAATCAGTCGTTGAATTTCTTCAATGTGTAAACCACCTATAAATCAATATAAGCAACAAACTCTCCTCTGAAAATATGCGATGATTATATTTAGTTAATTCGTTGATCAAAACGGAATCATGCAGATCTTAATAATAAAAAACTAAAGTTGTAGGCTATTAATTATAATTATACATATAATAATATTATTGCATGAAATAATATAGGCAATGAATGCTTTATTGGCGTTTTTGGATGAAATTATTGCATTTAGGCTATTATTATTATTATTTATATTTAAAAAAAATTGAATAATTGGAGAACAGTAACCCGCAAAAAAACGCTATTGCAATGTATTATCAATTATAAATAGGCTACACAGCCACGTAATGGTTATTCATGAATAGAATATTCAAGATTAAAGTTTTTGTTGATGAATATCTAGGCTGAATATGACAGTTTTAAGTGTCTCATGCAACGTAATGCGTGTTTCTGTATCTCTGTCGGCGCAGATATTGAATTTCGTCTTTAAAAACGCAAAAAAAAGATATTTTAAAATATCTGCTAAATGTTTGTGGCAGAAGACAGCGAGTAAAAACAGGTGTATGTATTTAAAGCCCCACGGAAATCCTCGCGCAGGGCACTGCTCGCGCTCAACCCAACAGTCGATACATGTATTTTCTTTTTCTTTTTTCTTTTTTACATTTTCATTATCTGGGAAAGATACATTTTCCATCAATAATAGATTCATATGGTGGTCAGAGGAGGAGAGGACATGGGGAGGGGTTCAATCCTTTTGGTTGGAGATAAGAGAGGAGGAGTGGCCGATAGAGAGAATCACTAATGAGCGCGACTCACCTCATCAAAGACGCGCGTGTTCGGACTCTGTCTCGCGCTGCTGTCGCGCGCAGTGTCATGATACTATGGGTTGCGTGCTGAACTCTACGGGACCAGAGCTGCTATTACAACTGGAGGCTTTAAGATCCACCGCTCAACAACTAGCCCAACTTTATCAACTCTCGGGAAAGAAAAAGGTCAGATATGCTCTTCCCTTCGTTAAACTGTAATTGTAATATTAATATTAATAATAATAATAGCTGTGTTATACATTGGCCACCCCTCTTGAGCGGCAAACTGATGCCTTGGCCTACTTTTATAACACACATTAGAGTTGTCACAACAGTGGAGCTCTGAGATGAAGTTTGTGCAGGTTTTTAGCTGTGTGTGTTGATTTCGGAGAGGGGCCCAGATCAGCAGCTGTCGCCTAGCCCTGAGCGCCCTCATGAGGGAACAACTGGTACTGTCCTTTTCACTGTGTGAAGAGTCTGTGATGCCGCTTTATAAAGCGGACTAGTTCTTTTCTTTTATTGTGATTATTATTTAAGTCTATTTAGGTGAGTTGCACTCTTTAAATTATTTATTTTACAAAAATAAACGCATGGTTTTTGAGTGTATTTTGGTTAAAAGACACAACAGATGTGGTTTGTCATCACAGCGCTCTTAAATGATTTTAATTATGGTTAATTTAGGAAACTTTGCAGCAAAACATTTGACTTAGAAAAAAAAATGACAACTGGGATAATAATATATAGCCTATATATGCTATAGCCTATTTAAAAAACTGTATTTAGGATTTAGATTTTAGATTTAAAACAAATAGCCTACACTCCTTTACCCTGGATAAATAATTTCCGTATTGGCTGTACGGAAATCTATATAGGCTAGGTAAGTAACACAATACTATCATGTTTTTTTGTGTGTTTTAAAAACAATTTTTCTGCGTGCGTGTTTCATTTGATTTTTAAAATTAAAAACGAAAACACATCAAACACATCGGATTAGGCTACGATTAGCCTACATTGGTTTTAAAAATTATTTTATTATTGTATTCTTTAATTTCACCTATTTTATTAGGGGAATTATTTTGATGCGCTCGTTTATTGTGTGTGTGTGTGTGTGTGTGTGTGCGTTTTCATTTATTTCTCGTTGGCCTTCGGTGAGTAAATTATCGAATGAATCATGGGCGATTTCAAATGCGCTTTGCATTTCATAATTACTGCATTATCTGTTTATCTTCTCCTTTGTGATTGTTTGCCGTCTGTGTTTTTTATCCTTAAAAACATTATAAAATATAACCAATTAATATATTGCTTTTACACTTGCTATGTTTAAAATAAAGCCTTATTTCTCTAAAAAACACGGATGATGATGATGATGATGATAACAATAACAATTAAGTAATAATAATAATAGCCTAATTTGATGCCTTTTGTTGTTATTGTTGTTTTAAAAATCTTATGCGTCTTTATTCTCTCTTTGCAGATCTGTTATAAAGCTATTAGAGATATTGAAATAGGGGAGGAGTTACTGGTTTACATGAAGGACGGAGTTTTCCCCGAGGGCTCAATGGCACCGAACCTGGAAGGTGAGATTAATGCAAGTCATTAGGCACTCTTTTAAACAAACTCACACAGACCACACTCGTTCACCTCTTCTAACAGTTACTGTAGTAACATGCTTTATGTGGCCTATGCATGTCTCGATGTTGTACAAAGTTCGGCAATGAAGAAAATTCATTCAAGAAGAAGTCCATTTCAACCCAGAGGCAACTGAACTATAGGACTAGTCGACGACATTTACAATGAAATTGCAGCACTATAGAGTTGATACACGTGTGGTTATTTTTGGTGGCTCATTACATTTATATAAAAACATTTTTTACACACTGTCAAATCGAGAAATCGCATCTATAAAAGTTTTTGTTTACATAATATAGCGTATGTGTGTGCGCGTGCGCGTCTGTGTAGGCCTATGTATTTTATGTATAGGAATATATGTGTGTACTAGGCCTATATATATATTATACACACACATACTTTCATGTTAGATGTGATTAATCACGATTAATCGATTTGACAGCATTACATATTGCACTGTACAATGTGCAGTGTTTATTGTGTTATGTTTTTTGTTTACTTTTTTTCTAAATGAATCCTTAATTTTTCACTTTCTTTAAAAGCAGGGGTTGTCACTTGTACTTTCCATATTTAAACACACAATGTTAACAATTTTGAAACAAGCTCATAGTCTTCTGTATCTTTTTTGTTTCCAAGTGGTCTGGTAATTTTGGATTTGAAGCTCAGAGTAGTTGATACAGACTAGAAAATTGCAAAAGCACTGAAGTGTGTCACAGCGCAGCAGTCACTCTCCAACACATGCACAATGTTTTATCTGATAGAGATGTGTCCTCAGATCTCCCTGCCAAAAAGGCCAGAAGAGAAAGCTCTCTGGGAGAAGCTAAGAGAGACAGGGACGCCAAAAGATGCAAGCCAGGCTCCACTCAGACAGATCAATCCAGAGAACAAAAGAAAGGAAATGTAGAGTAGAATGAACATGGTCATCGAAGAGGAGTCAGACGAGAGACAAACCGATAGACAGACAGAATGAGAGCTCTCGACGTCTACCTCCTTCTCATGGCTTATCGGTGGTGGAATTTGGAGTGGAGCTGGAGGAGTCTCGGGGGACCTCACCCATGCTCACAGATTAGCCGCTAAACTGCACATAATTGTGTTCCCCCTACTTCTCTCCAAGAGCTATTAGTTTCCCATTCCCTGTCTTTTCCCCAACATTCCTGCCTTTGTCGTTAGTGCTACCGATGGGACGGAGAGATAATGTCTCAAATTCTTTTTATGGCTTCTCTCGATAAAAAAAAAAAGTCAGTACAGAAATTAAATCTGCACCGAATTTTTTCACTTTAGTTTTCCTGTAAAGGCCTCTTTGAGGTTACAAGGGGAGTTCATTCAAAATACTCGTTTATTTTGCAGGAAGTCAATGAGCATCGCAATGGAGTGTGTTCTGTCAATACATGTCATTAGAAAAGAAAAATAAAGCAGAAAATGTGCCTAGTTAAGACAGCATCGATGCAAGCATTTCATGGGCTTTGCTTTCACAATATTGATTTAAAGAATAATGAAAGTCATCCAACTTGGCTTGATCTGGGCCATGCATGGAGTATATCAGAGATATCGCTGAGTTTAATTTGAGGATGATGATGGCTAATGAATCAAACCTTAGTGCCTCTCCACGACTGCAGGGTTATCTGTGAACTTGGCTCTTGTGTCAGGATTTCACCGAGGATAAAACAGCCACGTTTTTAGCCATTTAACCCCCGGGTCATATGAACAATTACTCCAAAGACGGATTTTCAGTCGAAAGCAAGTCAAAAGCCATGACGTTTTTATCTTTAATCTTGTAATCTCTTTACTGTTTTATGTCATTTTTTAAGGGTTTGTAAAATACTATTGATCTTAAATATTTGTATTTGTAATAGAATACATGTTTTTCTTTAAGCACTACCAGCCTTACATTCAGTGAAAATATGGTTACTTATCAAAACTTTTTAGATGTTATGCATTTGATATTAAAATAAAAGAGTATTTGGAAGCCTATGCTAGACTTAAAGATGTGTACATTTCATTACATTATTGATAACAAAATATCAAAACGAGTGGCATCTACAAACAAAATGCTGCTAGAGCTTTTCACAGATGGTGTTTCAGGGATTTTTAGTGGATGTGTTAAGTCAGTTCTCCTAAAGTTCACACAGGTGTCCTATAGAGTAACCAAAGGTGCAGTGGACATGTTCTACTAACATTTGACAAACAGAAAGTGCTCAAATATTTTTGTTTTCATTTTAAAAAGTATATCTATTGTCGTATCATTTAAAATCTCTTTTTTGAGTCTTGCTAGAAAAGTAAATGCGACTTTGTTTGATATTTTGTCATCTAATATGATGACTTTCAGACTATTTAAATTGTGGCTCAAGTGTCTGTTTTGAGGTGTTATTCTGAAGACTGTACCTTTTAATAATTGAATAATTCATTTGAATAATCAATGAATGTAATTCATGAGCAATTGTATGATGGTGTCCCAACAGATGAGCAGATGTACCGCTGTGAACACTGTGATGAACTCTTTACATCAAAGCTGGAGTTACGGCGGCATCAGAAATACTCCTGCAGCAGCGGCAACTCTATCTTTGACTCACTAAGCGAAGACTTCAAACAGGAGCGCGAAGACAGCGATGAGCCAGTACACGAGTGCAAAGACTGTGAAAAGATCTTCCCTAGCGAGTACAGGTGAGCACGCTCCACCCTACTGCTCAAGTTGTAATTACCCACCAAGCTTTAGGTAACCCCAAGCTGTAAGAATTTTAAAAAGGGGTGTGAAAATGCTTTCTAATGTTTATTTGCCTGGTTTGCGTACATCAATGGTTCTCAACTGGTTTTGCTTTAAGACCCAGATTTTACGTTGTACCAGTGACCCAACACAGAACCAAAATTGTTTCTTGCACATGTGTGTGATAAACATGCGTTCATAAACTTTTGCATGAATAATATGTTTATCTTACAAAAGCAAACAAAAATGTTCTTAAAATCAAACATTGAAATTGACTGAAATTACAATGAGCCACATAGGAAAACATTATAAAAAATTATTAACATGACACAGAACCCAAAGGAAAAGGTCGCCACAAACCACATTTGGCATTTTGCCTAATTTGGCTACCAAGAGATAGATGGGTTTTTTTTTTGTAGTTTTTTTATCAGTTTGACTGTACAGCCTTTGACGTAAAAAAAAAATACCCTTTAAAGATTTTGCTATTGTAATTATACATGGCTACATGATTAGTTGTATTACTTGAATTTAGCATTCTTCTTCCCTGTGATATGCAATCTTATCAGAACAGACCAGTTTAGAACCACTGGCCTACATGGTTGTCACAGAAAATATTTATGGTGTTCTTATTTATTCTTAGTCTGGGGCAGCATATGATCGTGCACACAGAAGAAAGAGAGTATAAGTGTGACCAGTGCCCCAAAGCTTTCAACTGGAAATCCAACCTCATTCGCCATCAGATGTCACATGACAGTGGCAAGCGCTTTGAGTGTGAAAACTGTGATAAGGTAGGTTTCTGCAACCACTTATGTTTTTGAATGCGTTAATCAGTTTATATGTGGGAAGTTGAAACATAACGTGCTCATGGACTGCAATATTAAGATTTTATGTTTTAAAATGTATTTGAAGAAAATGTATATATTTGTTTTACATTCAGTAGGTCCTGCAATGCATGTGACAAATGAATTTTTAACAGTACAAACATTCCATGTAATCTCTTGATTAATATGAGGTCATGAAAGCTGCAGAATAATTATAAAATGCAATAGCCAAATTTTGTTTAAAATTCTTTTAGATGGATGTCACACCACAGGACGTCAACTTTCCAAAAGTATTACTTTTCACTTCCCATGTACTTCAAATTTAAAAACATTGTTTATGCTAATAGTACAATTAATTTTCATTCATTTTCATCTTACATAGCCTTTACACAATGTTAGATTTGTATATTTAGACTTGGCACTAAGTTGGCATATTTCTGTGGGTTCTTCAGGTGTTCACAGACCCCAGCAACCTCCAGCGCCACATCCGCTCTCAGCACGTCGGTGCCCGAGCCCACACCTGCCCTGAGTGTGGCAAGACCTTTGCCACCTCCTCGGGCCTCAAGCAGCACAAGCACATACACAGCAGTGTCAAGCCTTTCATCTGTAAGTCTGAGCAGTCTTGTCTAAGCCTCAGATACAATTACCAGTGTCCAAAGACCTCCCGGCTAGCTCCACCCCAAGATTGTGACAGCTGTTGTTTTATAGGTCAGAGAAACTAAATGAAATTCTAGAGCCATTCTTTGTTTTGTTCTACATTTGTTGGGCTTTTCTTTCGTGCTTTCTTTTTCGCTCTCTTAATTACTCCATTTTACCCTTCTTCTTTTTTTTTTTTTTGTAACTGTGCATTTTCTTTTGAGGGCCCATTAAGGCTTGTATATGGCCAAGGCAGATTTAATGTTTAGAGGTTAATGTATATGCCTTGTCTTAGCTGCCCTCTTACCAAAACTGAGAAAACATCATCTTCATTTTGCTTGGCTTCACAATGTTTTGTGTGTTACCGTCCAGTGTCCAAATGCATGTATGCTGTACCAGTGTACATGTATTTGTATGTATACAAAATTAGTTGAAACAGTTAATCTATTAATAAAGAATATCATCAACAAGATATTAATTTGCTAATTGATCATATTTTTAACATATAACATTACCATGTGCAGCCTTTTTTTTTTATTTCACCTTCGAAACAGAGTAGAGTTCAATGTAGACTGGGGTAGCCAACCCTGCTCCTGGAGGTATGCCTTCCTGGACACTTCAGTTTCACCCCTGCTCCAACATACCTGCCTGTAATTTTTTCAAGTAATCCTGAACAGCTTGATTAGCTGTTTCAGGTGTGTGTCTGATTAGGGTTGGAGCTAAACTCTGCAGGAAGGTAGCCATCCAGGAGCAGGGTTAGCTACTTCTGATGTGATTGTTGAACATGATAAACAGCATGCACAGTTTATTGGTTGATCTAATCAGCTGCCGGATTATCACTTCTATTGAATGAACGCCAAATGAAAACAGTATGTTAATAGAATTAACCAGTCATGTGTGTTCTCCCAGGTGAGGTGTGTCACAAATCGTATACCCAGTTCTCTAACCTGTGTCGTCACAAGCGGATGCATGCAGACTGCCGCACCCAGATCAAGTGTAAAGACTGTGGGCAAATGTTCAGCACTACCTCCTCCCTCAACAAGCACCGGCGCTTTTGCGAGGGCAAGAACCATTATAATCCCGGAGGCATATTCACACCGGGCATACCAATGACATCCAGTCCCATTTTAGGCAAGTCCAAGTCTCATCCTGGCTTGAACCATGGTGGAATTAACTTCAGTGATTATTTCTCATCCAGGCCACATCATGCAGGTTTGCCCTTTTCCCCAGCACCTCCTGCATTCCCAGCCATGTCCCATGGCTTCCCAGGGATCTTTCCCCCATCACTATATCCTAGACCGCCATTGTTACCTCCTAGTTCACTGCTCAAGAGCCCACTTCAAGATGGTAAGCTGCCCCCTCTTGATGCTCCTACTCTTTCCGTGGTCTCATCCATGCACAACAGCAATGGAAATGTAGGAAGTGGTCTCAGCAGCCAGTCAGAGGAGAACCGAGAGTCCAAACTGGACTTCTCAGACAACAAGAATAAAGTGAAGATGAACGACATGTCTGATGGTAGTGATTTGGAAGATGTTAACACATCTAGTGGCACAGATCTAGACACCACAACTGGCACTGTGTCTGGCTCCGACCTAGAAAGTGAGGCAGAGAGCGAACGGGAGAAGGGCAGGAGGAAACCGGTGCAGGAGAGCAAGCAGGACGAAGTGAGCAGCAGTTCAGTATCTGTCTCCAGTTCAGGGAACCTCCCTTGCGAGCGGCCATTCCTCTCCTCCCAGCATTCCTTTTTCCCACCACCAGAAGAGCAAGCACTTCCACCCTCCGGGGCCACCACTGACTCCATTAAAGCCATTGCCTCCATTGCAGAAAAGTATTTTGGGCCTGGATTCATGGGCTTGCAGGAGAAGAAAATGAGCTCCTTAAACTACCATTCCATGTTTCCTTTCCAGTTTCTGCCCAACTTCCCACATTCCTTGTACCCATTCACAGACAGAGCACTCAATCCTGGTATGTTCTTCAAACCTGAGCCTAAATCACCTCGTGAGCACATACAGAAATTGCCTACAGCCACTGGTGCTGATTCACCCTTTGACCTAACCACCAAACCCAAGGAGGTCAAACCTCTCCCTCCACCCTCCAGCAAGCCAGCCTTGCCATCCAACGCCCTCCGGGCCCCTGGTGAGGAACAGCCTCTGGACCTTAGCATAGGCAGTCGAAGCCGAGCCAACCAGAACGGTGGCACACATGAACAGCGCAAGAATCACGTCTATGGCGCAAACTGCAAAGCAGCTAAAGATGAACACCCAGCACTAACTCAGTCCCAGAACTTGCACCAGCCCCAGATGCATCAGCCACAAGCATCCCTTCCCCAGCCACCTCCTCCCCAGCAGCCGTCGCTCCACTACGCCAAGCCCTCGCCGTTCTTCATGGACCCCATCTACAGGTATTTTAAGCCGAGTAGGCCTTGTTGTATTACCCACCACAATGACAATCCAAAGCTGTAGATAGGGATATGTTAAAATGTGACAAGTTATTGAAAAAGTATTGGTACCCAGTAGGTTTACAATCAACCTTCGTTCGTACGTAACCCTTGGTGTTGTTGTCCAGCAGGGTGGAGAAGAGGAAGCTATTAGACCCAGTAGGAGCTCTAAAGGAGAAGTACCTGAGGCCTGCACCACTACTTTTCCATCCTCAGGTATTTGTTTTTAACATATATTTGCTTTACTTCCTCTTGTACCTTGGTAAAGATCCTGCTCTTCATTGCATTGCTCTTCAAGTACAGTGGAGTATGCCAAGACGCGAAAAACACATTCCCAGTGTCCTCCGCCTCAGGCCTGTTTGGTTCAAGGGGAGCCTTGATGTTTTAAAAAAGTCCTGACTTCTGATGGTATTTATTTTCATTAGATTATTTTCATCATGAAGATAATCTCATAAGAGGTATTGCCTGTTCTGGCATGCTGTGTATTCAAAATTCGTTATCTTTTGCTTAGAAAAACAACCCCCATTGTTTGTGTTAGTATTTTAAACCTTTCCCACCTTTGAACGGTGACAACAATAATGAAAATATTATTAATAATGGCCTTTTGAATTGAAACAAATTATGCCACATACTTTCGGAGTAGACCATTGTCTCTGAGAAGTTCTCCGTTGAGTCCCCACCGCTAATAACTTCCTAGCATTTCTTTCTTGCTCTGGCTGCCTAGATAATGTCTGCATGTCGATCAGGGACTTCCTGTGTTTGTGTGTAATAGAATGGCCTCTCTTGTTGGGAACTGTCTTATCTGACCTGTAAATCTGGCCTCCATCAATGCTGACCTACCTCCCCCCAAATCCAAACCTTCTCTCGCTCTTTCCTTCTCTCTTTTCAGCAGCCCCCTATTTATTCAAACCTATTTACTTCTACAGGTGGTCCATCTATCTATCTATCTATCTATCTATCTATCTATCTATCTATCTATCTATCTATCTATCTATCTATCTATCTATCTATCTATCTATCTATCTATCTATCTATCTATCTATCTATCTGTCTATCTATCTGACTGTCTGTCTGTCTGTCTATCGTCTGTCTCATTGTATATTACTGCAGTTTTTAAAATGTATAATATGTTAGCTGCACCGGCGCCGGTGATTTCTTAGAGAAATATGTGATCATGATTTAAAAAAAGGTTTAAGCATTAACAAGAGCACCATTGCCTTTTGATATTCTAAGCTAAAACACTGACAGAATCAAGGTGATACCAAGACATGTTCAGTATAAATAAATTAAAACACACTGTCTGTCTCTGTGTTTATCCATATTCCAAAAGTAGGAAGGATGTAAGCTGTTTTTGGCCATAGAGCCACATAGCGAAGCCTTTGTTCTGCAACAGGGGAAGTACTATCAGCGAGGGGTATCTTAAACTGCATTGTATGGTTACCGCTCACGGAGGTGAATGGCTCATTCAGACGCTTCTCTCAGAGATTTGTTGGGAACAAAGTAGGAGCCGGGGGCTCCCAAGGGGCTGCTCGAGTGGCTGCCAACGTGCCATAGGTTAGGGAGGTCACTCTTGAACAGCACAATCAAGTCTCGACCTTCTGATATATAACTTCCTCCAGCTTTCCATCCTGTCTGGTTATGATGCAAACTTTCAGGCTCTCTGTCAGAGTTCCTCACCACCACTATTATTTTGTTCTTCGTGTATCTGCCCTAAACAAATGCAAAAAAATGGACCCTAATCTCACACAAAATCAATCCGAGAGAAGTTTCTGATTAAATGAGCTCCTGAGCTGTGCATCAAACATAGAGTATTCCTCTCTGAACTCGCCTCATGTTCTCTCCTCAGGTGTCTGCGATGGAAAACATGACTGAGAAGTTGGAAAGCTTTGGCGCTCTGAAACTGGATGCTCCCAATTCCCTCCAGCACCCCTCACACCATCTTTTTAACTTCCGCTCCCCGCCTCCCTCTCTCTCCGATGCTATCTTACGCAAAGGCAAGGAGCGATACACCTGCAGGTGAGCGCCGCTCATGAAACAAGAGTAAACATCCCTAAAAGATTCCTTTAACTCTAGAGTGTTATTTTGAGCATTTCTACCATACCATTATAGTTAGAAGTACACACTAATACACACAAAATAGAAATAGACTATATAGAGCTAAAGTTACCAATGTTCTGCTTTTGTTTTATTAGTCATCACAATTTACATTGAATGTCCCCAGACAATGAGTTAGAACTCTTTGAATTTGAGAGTTGTAACAATGCTAGATGACTGTATCAAAGTATAGTTTCCATCCTTTGCAGGTACTGTGGGAAAATCTTTCCCAGGTCAGCTAATCTTACAAGGCACTTACGAACACACACAGGAGAACAACCCTACAGGTAAGCCACTCTTATACATACACTCTTACACACACACACACACACACACACACACACAAATGCAGTACTGAAATTCTAAAGCATTTTACCCCCTGTGTGAAGGAGATTTACCTCACAATTTATTCCAATAGTTTGATGTTATATCATGTTGCTAAGCTAACGACAAAATACATAGCAAATCAGTTGCTGATTATTAGGCTGCCTACCTTTTGAACCTGCTCTTGTATTGAAAACGTAGACAACTTACAAGGGAATCTGTTTGTTGCTTTATGTGATCAGCACATGAGATATGTTCTAGCGTATTGTTGCAATACAAATGTTGTTCATTCTGAGAAATATCACATAGAAACAATAAAAGACATGAGAGGCAGCACGATCAAAAAAGAAAGAAGATTGATTCTGTCTGTGCAGATGTTTTGGAGGTAGAGTAAGCTCTGGACAATGTTGGCTGGTAATAGCACCCTGGAGACAGCCACGCTCTGTTTATAGAACTGCTTAATTATAATTGATTTGGCTTCTAACCAGCTGTGGAAAGTCCTCTATGAGGGCACTTTGGAGATGGGGGTCTTTCAAAGTTTTAAGTGATATTTTGACCTAGGCATGACTAAGATGTGAAAGAAGAAAGACTTTTACTGCCAAAGGTAACCTTACAGTCCAGCTTCTCAACACATTCAAGTAAAATAATTCATTTACGAGAAAAATTAACTTAATAGTGGTGCTTAAACATGATTTTTACTAATGCTCAGAGTTAGGGATTTGAACAAACCCCTGACCATAAGTAATAAACTTTGACATCCAACCCGTCCCGCACTGTTTTTGCAAGAGACATGAATGTTACCTCATAATGCGACTTCTTGACGTATGTTATTACTTTTCTAAGCAAACAGACTTTTTGCTTAGCGAATGGTGAAACAAGTGAAAAATTCCGTAGACATTAATAAAGACGAAAGCTACCTACCCAGAACACCCTAACAACCATACAACTCCTCAATAAGCGCATAGCACCACCGGGAAACCACCCAGAACACTGTAGCATCAGGGCATGCAATATAATCTCCTTTTCTTCAGAAAGTGTAAAAATGTAGGTGTCTGCATTGTTTCCTTCCAAAATAGTTCTTTTCTTTTCTTTTTATTTACGCATTTATTTACGCATTCTACTTAAAAGCATTTGGAAGTTCTGTAGCGTATATCAGTTTCACACGAGTTTTTCTTAGCGTACAAAAAAGGTCAGGCGGAATCAGACCCCTCTTTGAGTTCTACAAATCTACCATAGAGCCCTGTGAACACACTCAACGAGATAGAGAGCCTCCCTTGGGACACGGCCACTACATGCTTGGCTCCTTCACAACAATCCCCTGATTAGCTCATTTAGAAACAATTTACCCTAACAAATAGCAGACATCATCAGCATCTCCCCATCTTACTTTCAGCAAAAAAGGCCGAGTCAGGCCAATATCAGAGCGGGCCGGCTTCATTGTAGTAGGTTATTTGCCTGCTGTAGATGCTATCAGCTACTCTACGTAGCGAAATTGGCCCACTAGGTCTGACCATTGAAAGACCCCATTCGGATTGTAACGCTTCATGTACAGTCCTTGTAACAGAGAAAAAAAGAACTGAGATGATGAAGTAATTTAAAGTCCCTCTGGACCAAGTAATGAAAATAAACAAAATGGGGGGCAGAAAAGACTGGCCTTAAAAAACAAAACAAAAAAGAACGTTGCCTTGGCATTTTACCATTCTCTATGAACCATGATGTGCCAAGTCTGGAAAATCGTTTCTACAGAAGCACACACACATTTGCTCGCAAAATAAACTGGAACATGAAAAGGGGCCTGCATCTTGATTCTGAGCACTTGATGACGAGCGATTTTCCCAAAGCAATTAGCCCTGAAAGTCAACTTCGCAGCGACCGCGGGAGTCTAAGCTACACCGGCCACCCAACAAAGGAAGCACTGTCCGGCGAACTCCTGACACTGCCTCGCTGCGATGTTTGTTTATCAGCACATTAAACTGATGTTCTCCTGCCTATTCTGGCTGATCTGACATTGCAAACAAGTAATCCAGAGCGATGGAAGTTGAACCGTGACACTCTAGCGCACAGAGAATATCTCAAAAATGTCAAAATGTGGAATCTCAAAAAAGGGAAATGTACTGCACCTTGTCTATCATGTTTACAAGACTAGCTATTTGATTGGCTTACGTGAAGGAAAAACGTGAAGGCAAAGCAATGAGCCATAAAAGGACATAAGGGAGTGTTTGCTTTCATACACAAATGAAATGAGAGGTTTCTGAGAGGAGAAAGCACTGGTCATTTAATGGTATTTAATGGTAGCTACAATATTAAGCCATTTTTCCAACAAAATTTCCTATATTTCACTTGACTGAAACTACAAATATGTTTGTTGAAATTTGTATAATTCTAATGTTCTAATTTCATATCGTATAATTCTAATTTCAGCCCAGCACAAACCTCATATGAAATCTTTGATTTTTTTTCACCTTCCTTCTTTCCTTCATAGATGTAAATACTGTGACCGTTCATTCAGCATCTCCTCCAACCTCCAGCGACACGTTCGTAACATTCACAACAAGGAAAAGCCTTTCAAGTGCCACCTTTGCAATCGCTGCTTCGGTCAACAGACCAACCTGGACCGCCACTTAAAGAAACATGAACACGAGAATATTCCAGGTAAAATCAGTTTCCTTCTATATTGTCCAAATATTTCTTTTTGGTTATTTTTATTTTATTTTGAATGCAAATCTATGATGTTAATCGCCTTTTTCAGTTGAGGTAAAGATTACCTGAAATCATATTACTGCTTTTTTCATGCTTTTATCTTATTTATTAGGAGGTGATTTGTGTTAAAATACCTGTCATAACCAAAATAAATATAAATATGCAATGAGTAAATAATAAACATAAACTTTAAGTTTGTAAATGTAAAAAGTATCTGGCAAGAGCACATGCAACTGTAGTTTTAAAGGGATAGCTCACCCGAAAATGAAAATTCTGTCATCATTTACCCACCCTTTCTTCTGTTGAACTAAAAGGAAGATATTTTGAAGAATGTTGGTTGGCAGTTGACAGTAGCCGATGACATTTGGAAGTCAATTGCTACCATCAACTGTTTGATTACAGACATTCTTCAAAATATCTTCTTTTGTGTTCAGCAAGAAAAAAAAATTTCATACAGGTTTGGAGCAACATAAGGGAGAGTAAATAATGACAAAATGTTCATTTTTGGGTGAACTATCCCTTTAAGGCTGCATATGTTTAGATATTCCGTCACTCTTTCTTATTTAATGAGTTATTTAGTAATCAATTTATCTGCTTATTTATTGTAGTGAGTCAGCAGTCGGGGATCCTCTCGAATTTAGGAACAAATATTTCCTCACCGAACTCAGAGTCTGACAATCATGCACTTTTGGATGAGAAGGAGGACTCGTATTTCTCAGAGATTAGGAACTTCATCTCCAATAGTGAGCTGAACCAGGCCTGTAGCTCCTCGGAGAAAAGGTACGAGCTCGCACTCATGCACAAACACACACATGGACAGAATATGTTTTGAAACCATGGCAACAAACCTACTGTATAGAATCCGATTCAGACACGCTTGTCATGAAGTTACAGTCTGCCCTCTAGTGGAGAACTGTGGTACTGCTCCACTCCCAGCAGCCGTGTGTGTGTGTGTGCGCGTGTGCATTACAGACTTTGTCTTCAGTGGGCAGAGGGACGGGACATCTCAATGAGTCATTTCACCTTGTTGAGTTCTGTTCTGCATTAAGCACAGCCAGATACACATCAGGGAGCACATTCCATCGCCTTATGAAAACACCAAACAAAAGCTCATTACTGCCAAATTCATGAACCGTCAGCACGCCTGTCGGTGTGTGGCCAGGTTCACATCGCTTCAGGTTTTGGTTTAGGTACTGTGGAGTTTGATTAATGCAGACAAATGTGTACGAACAGATACATTGCCAAATACATGAGTTCTTTCTTAGACGTGTAAAAGTCCTCCTCGATTTTTACCGGTTCCTCCACACTCCATGGTTCTGCCTCATCATTTTAAAGCTCTGCCGTGGACTGCCATCTGGGATCAATAGTCCTGTCCTGACTCGTACAAGCAGGCCTGGCATTTTAATATCTGTAATTCAAATAAGAGCTCTGTTTTGTCTCCCTGCAAATCGGCCTCACAGAAACACCCGCTTCAAATGGACAGGCAGCTGCAATATTCCCCTATGCGCTCATGCATCTTATTTCATGACGTTTGCCTGTTTCTCTCTCGGTTTCTGTCACTCTTGTGCAGCCAGTCTGCATTCATGGTGGAACGTCTTTTTTCTGCTTTTAATTTCTTCTTCTGTCTTTGTTGCTCTGTAGGAAATTATAAAAAAATTTAATATCTCATTTGTTTCTCCTATAAAGCAATGAGACTAGAAAGCAGTCTCCTGTCTCGCATTTGCCTCTTCTAGAGTTTCAGAAGCTTAACTCAACATTCTCTCAATGAGACATTACTGAGAACTCAATTATCTGGGCTAAATTATGCACACTCACTTTATCGCTCCATACAAGCTGAATGAGCTGTCTGAGCTATCCTGTCCAATCCTGTTTTTTAAATAAATACAACAATTTTCTCATTTGTCCCTATTTATATTTTTCCAAAAGGAATTTTTGGAGAAACAATAAAGATATACAGTAGTTGATAGTCAAACAAGACCTAAGAAAACCCGTCTGAGCTAGGCTATTCAAAATAATTTGATAAACAAATACAATAATTGTCATTTAATCATATTTGTATTTCTCATAAGGAATTTTCTGAAAAAACATTTAAGACATGTTTGATACTCAAATGAGAACACTCATCTGAGCTATGATATCCAAATTATGTTTAAATAAATACAGTTGTCTCAGTTTTTATTTTATTTCTCCTAAGGTATTGTCGGAGTATCATCCGAGACAGTTGAGACTTAAATGAGACATAACTGAGAAATCCATTATATACGTAAGCTATGCTATCCAGACTAATAGTATAGTTAAATACCGCAAACACTTTAATTTCTGCTATTACTAAGGAATTTTATGAGTAACATCTGAGACAAAGTTGTTACTCAAATGAGATATGACATCATCTGAATCATGCTATCCAAATTTTTAATTAAATTAGCTTAAAGGAGCCATTCACACAGAACAGCCCCCCACCCCCCAATATATATAAATACATGATATAAATGCAATTCTGACTTTATTACTCGCAATGGTGAAATATAAATGCAATTCTGACTTTTTTTTCTTACAATTGCTAGTTTATATCTCGCAACTCTGACTTTTTCTCGTAATTCTGACTTCTTGTAATTATGAGTTTCTATCTTGCACTTCTGACTTCTTTAAATTTGAGAGTTATTAAGTCCAATTCTGAGGAAAAAAGTCAAAATTGTGAGATATAGTCTCAGAAAAACATTTATATCTCACAATTCTGACTTTATAACTCATAATTGCGACTTTTCATCATTCAATTCTGATTTTAAAAAGTCAGAATTATGTTATATTAACTCGCAATTCTGACTTTTTTTCTCAAATCGCGTGATAAAAAGTCGCAATTGAAAAAAAAAAAAGAGTCCGAATTGTGAGATAAAAATACAGTGGCGGAAGCAAGCTTCCATACTTCCTCCATGAATGTCAGTGGAAAATGATGTGATCTGTTCTCTTCACAATATACAGAGAGGCATGATGGGGGTTTACCTGCAGCTGGGCTAATGCTGTTTGCAAGTGTGTGTGCCTGGTCTGTCTGAGTTTGACGGTCAGTCTGTAGGGGTCTGCAGGTTTAGCCCTATCAGGGGACCCTCAGACTGAGACATTTATCTGTGTGCTGCATTGACGGACCCCCCACCCCCCTCAAGCTAACGCAAACAGCGCTCTGACATGTTTAGACTGAGAGACAAAGCACAGGTCTGTGGCAGGACCGCTGCTGTCTCCCACGTGGCATGGACTTTCTCTCAGGCCAGGGCAAATTTGATTATGGGATATTTAAGCATGATGGAAAATGGGAAACAAGCAGTTCTTCTTGTTCCTTTTTTTTTCTGTTTTGGTAAGTCTACACCTCACATAGCTTAACCACCACCCACCTTCCACCACCCCTCCCGGCGCACTCGACATTCGTCTGCTTTAATAGAAGTTCGTTTCAGAGCGCTGAAGTAAAAACGACTTTGGAGGGGTATGCGCAATGACATCATAAACTGAAATGTTTGGGAAAAGAGTGGTAGTGGAACGGCGCGGTGCTGATAGCTGCTTCGCAGAACAACCGGTTTCTCTGGAACTCAGTGGCAATGAGACAAACCATGATGAGTGCCGCTGACCCGTCTAGCTGGCTCTGTCTCGCCTCTCCGAAATTAGCCAATTCATCATTGCCACGCTCGCAAGAAACGTCTGTCATTAATTGCAAAACCTGTGTGTTTGTCATTCGTGGATCTGTGTTTTCGAGCTCGGGCCAGGCAGGGGGAATTACAGCCCAATCCAAAATGATGGATGGCAACCCAGAGACCAGCATAGCACTGATATTTGGCAGTCAGATTATGATGAGAGAATTACCTCAATGGACCCTCAGGGTGAAAATAGTTTTTTTTTAGTTTTTTTTATCTGATATTTTGGGGAGGTGTCATTAGATGTCATAGCCATGTCCCGAAGACATAAAAACTCATCACCAGTGGCCATTAGAAATCTGGTGTCACTTCAATCCTACAGGGATATGTAAAGCGCGCGCGCGTGTGTGTGTGTGTGTGGCTCCTGCCGGAATTGAAAGGTTTTTCAAGTTTATTCCCAAGTTGGTTGAAACTTGGATAGGAAAAGGCAAGATGATAGCTTTCAACATGAAAAATAAGCACTGAAATACAGACAAAAAGACATAAAACAGAAGCCGTCTTCTGCTATGGATACCGTTTCACTCTAAAAAATAACTGAACATTTCAAAGGGGACATTTCATGATGAAAACGATTATTCTTTTTGAAATAAAAAAGTTTGCTGTAGTATGTAGTCAAATTTAAGTTTGCTGTAGTATGTAGTCACATACATATGTAGTCATATATCTCCCATCCACCCACACAATTTATGGAATTTAAACTGAAAAAATTTGTCATTCAGATTCAGAAATCACAGTGCAAAAAAAATTATTTACATTGATTCATGGTTTTGGTTCTGTTTTCCAGTACAATATCCGTTCAGTATCCTTAAAACAAGATAAATTTACATGAGAAAAAAAACAAAACAACTTCTGATTATCTGAAAATAAGTTTTGGAGGTGTATTTTTTTTTGTTGAGGTTTTTTTTTTTTTGCTGTGCAATGGCATATGACCTTCCCTGTTTACATATCAACAGAAATTTTGTATTCAAAATCAAAGTATTCAAATAGGTATTTTTACTCATTTTGTTTGCAAAGAGCTTAGCCAGTAAAACCAGAAGTTGTTTGCATGAAGACATGTTAATAAAGGTCCAGCAGTGAAAGATGAAATGGTCATATGTAAAACTAAATGAGGACTGTTTGTTATTACAGGTCAGAGCTGACAGAGGAAGAGCATCCTCAGAGTCACACTCACACTGCCTCCAAACTGGAGGAGGAGGAAGAGGAGATGGAGGGAGATGACGAAGATGAGGAAGGCTCGTTGACAGAGAAGTCTCAGGACGAGACGGCCTCTCCCGCCACTATGGTGCAGGGCACTTACGACGAGGATGAGGAGCCCACCCCTCTCCCTATGTCTTACGAACACACGCGCAGGTCAGCACAACACATCTGTCTGTTTATTTAAGAAAAGATTAAAAGCCACTCTCACTTAAATGAACACTCATTTTTTTAAAGATGTGAAAATGTAGATCATACAGTCGGCATGAATACGCCTCTTCGAGACGTTTTACTACAATATGATGCTTTTGTGACATTGGCAAAAAAAGAAATTTGGTGCAAGTAGTTGCTATGTTTGTTTGTTTGGAGTAAATGCACTGATGAAATATTTCTGATATGACCAGAAACATTAAGCAGATCGATTTCGATCTCATGTTAAATTTAAGAAAGTAGAATGAAGTATGAATAGTGTAATCGATAGTATTTATTACAAGAAATTAATCATTTTATTTAGCAAGGAGGACGCATTAAATTGATCAAAAGAGACAGTGAAGTCATTTATACTGTTACAAAAGATTTATCTTTCAAATAAATGCTGTTCATTCAACATTTTCTACAGAAATCGTGAAAAAATGTATCACCTTTTCCATAAAAATATTAAAATATTTTTAACATTATAATAATTAAGCACCAACAATAACTGAGCATCAAATCAGTATATTACAATGATTTCTGAAGGATCATGAGACACTAAAACTGGAGTAATGATGCTGAAAATTGAGCTTTAATCATAGGAGTAAATTACATTTAGGAATATATTAAAATAAAATAAAAACTGTTATTTTAAATTGTAACAATATCTCATAATATTACTGTTTTTACTGGATCTTTGAACAAATAAATGCAACCTTGGTACTTATAAGAGATTTCTTAAAAAAAAAAAAAACGTTTCATTCAAAAAGATATTCAAATGTATCCCAAACAAACACAATCATGTTGTTTACCTCCAGTTGTGAATGCCACTAAATTTACATTTTTATATTCGATTTTGGTTGAGTGTTCATTTAAGAAGATCAGAAGTTTTGTGACAGAGTATTGACTGTAACAAAAGAACAATGTGCCTACAATGCTATAGCTCTGTTCCAAAACCAAGTGAGCTGCATAGACGCAATAAAAAAATAAAATAAAACCTGTTCCAGAAGATAGTTTCAAATCTATTCACTTATTATGCTGCCTTTGAAGCCACAAGAGAGTTGCTCATGTAGACAGCAAAGCAGCTCACCAGGGGTGCGTTTCCCGAAAGCCAACTACGGTCCATCATTATCAGTATAGTTCAATGAGTAAGTGTTTCCTGGAACCATAGATCTAATGAACATTCGCAAACAGCATCGCAAAGTTGAGTGGTTGGAATGACAACTTTCCACCTGTGGTTAGAAGCCGAGTTTCTTGTTTGCATGACATGTGGACTCAATAAATTCTTATCTTCAGCGAAATAAGCGAGCTGACATTCTGTACAATCTATATACTTAATTTCAAATAATATACAAATGTCATTTACTTCTTTTAGTTTGTCAAGAGATTTATAGCACCGTTTTTGAAGAGTGCGCATGTGCGAACGTGCTCTAGTACGTAAGAACGAGCCTATGATTGAGTCTGGAAATAATGCAAAATAACTGAAATAAATGATCATTTTCCTCAAATGCCATGTCTGTAATTTTAGCAAAAAAATCTAGCATTAGTTCGATCTCAAACGGATTCATTAAAAGAAGTTAACCATTAACCAAATACAAATTTGCGACAATACGGTTTGGGGAAACAGTCGTGACTTACGTCGTCGTACGGGAAACACACCCCAGATTGAGGAACAGAGTGTCTGTGTAAGACGTTCATTGTCTCCCATAGTGTTTACTACTGTGATACTCATTGTCTGTCAGTCCTCATACAGTAACTAACGCAACTAATCATCTGTCAGTACATGTGTGTTTAATCATTGAAACTTTGGTTTGCCTAAACAAAGAAAAAAAAACGATCAGTTTAACAGTTTCCAGCAATTTTGCACACATGCAATGAGCGTCCAGTTCGGTTTTTCGCCTCTCTCATCTTGAACAGCATTGCTGTTGGAATGCCACTGGCATCTAAATGTTTCAATGATCAATATTTCGTGGCACATTTTATTCAAGAGCAAGTGTTTCCCAGCATCTCGTTTAATTCTGCATGGACAGAGAGATGGACAGAGTTCTTAACACCAAAGCTGTGTCCATTTGTTTTGTGCTTTCATCCGCTAGTGTGATGACCACCTATATTTTTCATGTCCCGTCACCATCTCATCCACTGCATGCTGCTCAAATGCATCCAGTTCCAATTTTTAGATTTGAATTTGCGGGCTAACTGAGGGTCCCCTCCCCTCTCCACACCCCGGCCCCCTCCCCCTTCCCCCCTTCCTGGTACAGGTGTATTGAGGAGGATGCAGGCCTATTAGATCTGGAACCTCTGGCTGGTTTCCCCAAAGGCCTGGAATTCCATAAGGCTGGCGAGGAGCCCTATGACATTAAAGACATTTTTAGCCCCTCGGTAGAGTCGGAGGCGCTGAAAGAAACTCTTTTCAGGCAGGCTAAAACACAGGTATGTGACTGTACCTGCTCCAGAGAGCTTCTACTATGCCTTGAGCCCATGTCTTACGTTACGTTACGTCGAGAGAAGGACACACAGTTAAAGAGCATCTTTTCAATATGGACACAGATCTTTTTAGCTTGGCCTTTAGGGTTCCCCAACCATTTGGTAGACTCTGTCAGAAAAGCCACTGGAAAACCAAAGTAAATAACGTAAATTAAATTGTATGTTTTGAGCAGTCAAGATGATATTAAATATCTGATATTTGAGATAAAATTGTAATTAACAATAATAATATTATATTTTTCTCTCTATGTGTCAAAAGACAAAAAAAAAAATTACATAAAGGTTAAGGTTACTTTAAAATTGAGGTCATAGTGGTTAGACTAAAGTTTTGGTATTCCTGCAATAGCCCATGCAGAAAAAGATGTTATAATATAACTACATGCAACTTATGCACTACCTAATCATTGTCATTTTTATTTTGTTTTATAAAGAAAATGTTCAATGTTCAATGTTGATACAAACATCAACTGAATGATATTAACATAACTAACACTATTAGCTTTCTATCTAACTTTAAATTGTCTTCTGGTCTCAACATTTCATGTGGAGTTGTTACGTGTCTTATATGTGTGAACCCAGTTGATGGTTTTACTTTAATATTGTTTACTGGCAGGAAAATGTCTGATTTGGTGAAATTCATTATGTCTGTAGGATTTATGTCCAATTGATATTGTATCATGTAAAGAATTAAAGTTTAGATTGCATTATAATGATTCCCAAAAAGGGATATGTCTTTAAACCCGCATGCTGTTATTTATTTATTTTCCATGGAACACAGAAAGATACGTTTTTGAGGATTCAATAAGCAGCTGAAAATAACAGCACATGGATTTGGAATGACAATAGGTCAAAGATGATGTGCGTTTTGGTTCTGAGGTGAAACTTTCCTTGTTTTCTTCATCCAGGCTTATGCAATGATGCTCTCTCTGTCTGAGAACGCCAATCTGCATTCATCCTCCCAGAACTCCTTGGATGCCTGGCTCAACATGGGAGGAGGGCCGTCGGAAACCAGCTCCTTTCACCCCCTCAACAACATCTGAGAGCAAGAACAAGACAAAAGAGAGATCCGAAGAGATGGAGGGAGAAAGGAGGAGATGGGAGAAGAGACCAACTTGAAGACCAGCAACGCCACGGTTGATGAACCACCACTATGCGCATAAGGAGGAGAACGTACTGTTGAGTGAAACAGACACAGGAACCAATCATAGATGGGAGAGTTTTATTACACAAGAATGAAATCATCAAATCCCAGCCATACAGCATCTTTCCTGTCTGCAACTAGCAACTATAGTGAGTTCTCTCCTCAGCAGCTGAATCAAGAGGATGCATTCGAAAGACTCGAAAATCACCTCATTTTCAATTATATGCATTTCACAGAGACTGCTCTCGAGGTTTTTTTTTTTACCATGTTCTCGGAGAAGCCCAGGCCGGGGTTGACTGGACAGGGTAGTTGATGTGTTTCTTCAACTGGAGATTTTAACCGTTTCTATACAGCATTCCATTCTCAAGTTGATTTTCTACAGCACTGTACCAAGGTTTCCTTTATATTAACTCACAGCCGAAGTCTTACAGTAGATCATTAGTGTAGACATCAACATTGATTTCCAATGGCAATAGAAGCACTTAAGCCTAGCCCGCAACTAGCATGCTAACTTTCCCCCAAGGCTGACCGCAGTGTTGGCACGCCACTGGCTCTAAAAGTCTATGCTGGAGGTCACCTTTGTGATTTTTGTTCGGCTGCTCAACACTCGGATAAAGCGGTCAAATCTTCATATGATATATCACGCAGCATGGTTGTTCATTTGTATAGCATCATCGTCATTGTAATTATTGTTGTTATGGTAAGTATTTGAGCTGTATACAGGCCTTTAGTCTCAACTAAACGTTTGTTTTTAAGAGTTAAATTATTCTCCAGTGGGGCAATTGGAAAATCTTTTCTCCTTCTTCTTGAATTCAGTAATATTATGATTTTTTTTTTCTATGTGATTTGTTCCTTGGTAAACAGTATTGTTTCTTTTTGAGCACATCTGTGCTCAAATGTTAATATAATTCTTTAGTGAAGGACCAAATTTGTACAATATTGTTGTATGATGTACAAACTAAGTTAACAGTTGGTAGCAGAGAGTGTTGTGTGCCAAATAACCCCCTTTTCTTTGACAATCATTTCTTTCCCAAGTGGTCGCCTCCACTGTTAGTCGTTTTTTTTTCTTTCTTCTTCCTCTGTTGTTGCTACTTACATTGATGAGTGTTTGTCTTTTATTTATTTTTATTTAGATTGTTTTTTTTATTATTAATGAAAAAATGAAGAAAAAAAAATGTTTTACCCACTCTTTTGAAGGAATGAAATTACTGAAATATCATGGAAATTCAGAAATGTCCAAGCTCTTTGTAGAAAAGAAAGTTGCCAAAATTTGAATTACAAAAGACTGTTTCCTTTATGAGCACATAATCATGAAGTCTTGTTTATGATGCATCTGTTCAACCATTTAGAAATGTAGGCACTGCGTGATTTAAAAAAAACAAATGTAATTAAAATATCAGGTACCTCAAATAGAGGGGCATTATATTTTGACATTTTTACACATTTTATCACTCATAGTTAAACATATTCATTAAAAAAAATGGGTCAACGGTGTATCTCTGGGTTCAAATTGCATGTTTCCCATGTCCCATTATTTTGTCAGCTAGTCCTAAATATCATATCAAATTCTACATAATTCAAATGCTTAATATTGTTTGCATACCAAAAAAAGACACCGCAAGTGAGAGGCTACAATGGGATTGTGATTAAATGGTGAGCGGCAACATTTAATGTTCACAAGAGCGTAGAGGTTTCTGAGAGATGCCCAAAACCATGAATACACATACGAGTCCTTATCCAACTTCTCTGAACTGTGAAGCCAGCGAATGAATCGTAAACAGCTGAATGCATATCATGAATGTGTAGAGTAGATTTAATATGTAGGTTGAGTCAAACTTCATAAAGTTAACTTCTCTTGATTGAATGTCTTTTTGGTCAGGATTTCATACCTCCACTTCTTTTTGGATGCTTCTCTGGAATCAGCACTTAAATCAACACACCCCTGTCTGCCTAACACATACTTTCCTTTACATCTGAGCTCTTAACTTAGTACTGATTTTAACGGCATTTTTCCAAGCAAGGCTGGTTTTAACAAGCACTTTAACTCATGGGTCAAACAGGCAATTGTATCAGATGCTTTAGAATAAAACAGCGTAGAATATCCAAGCGTTGCCAGAAGAGCTTCTCAGTTTTTAACATTTACGAATGTTCAGCTTTCACTGCGAACACAAACACAAGATTGATTCGACTGGCCTATCACAGGGAATCTGCTTGATAATGCGCTGTTTAAAAACTTGCAGCAGTCTTGTATTTGAATATACTAAAAGGTGGCACTATTACCCTGTTTCATACCGTATCTCCTCACTATATAATTTACTCAAATCCTTGAGTAAAAAGCCTGTGGGATGCATAGGATTTCTAGGGATGTAATGGAATTATGAGGATGAAGTCATGTCACATACTACTGTACTTAGCAAGCGCTGTAGGTGAAGAAATTGACCCACACTGTTAAAATCATCATGAAAATGGTCAAAAAATGAGCAATGCAGATCTCCTTGGCCCACTGTTACATTACAAACAAACGTATCATTTCAAAATCCATAATAATGTGGTTTCTCTAAAAAAAAAAAAAAAAAGTGTATAGTATTTCGAAAAAATAACATTGATATGTCCGAAAGTTCATTTTAAACATGGGTTTGAAAATAGATGGTGCTTGTTTCATTTGGATATGAGTTGTATATTGCTTCTGTTATGTTTATTAAAAATATTGTGCATGACTTGTGTTTTAGAGGTCATAATGGTGTCCATTTGTGAAATGTGTATCTTAAATTAAAAAGAAAAATAATAATAAAAAAAAAAACAATGAATTTGTAGATGCACTTATTGTACATGTGGTTAGGTTAGTAGGTTTGACTTTAAGTCCTGTTTACTGCCTTAAATACTATGGGCAGATGGTTATTGAACTGAACAATATGCTTGTGGGAGAGAAATAATGACAAAATTTAAGGATTGTAGAATAATACTGAAAATTCTGAAGTTCTTTTTTGATGCTTGTGATTACTGAAGATGTACTTTAGAGCAATTTCATGGAAAAGACATGATTCTGATGTTAATTCTGTAGAATAGATATGTATACCAAATGTAATCTTTCCAATGCTATGAAGAATTTATACATGAAATTGATATGCAATAAAAACCTGTGTGCTTTTTATATGAATGTTGCTTTTTTCCCTTAATCCTGTAGATGTCATCCATGAGGAAGACAGTTGAGAAAATGTCCACATTGTGCAGAGCTGAAACAATGGTGACTTTGAAGAATGTCAATAAATTCACATTAAGGGATGTGATGTCACCAGAACCTCAAAGGCTAAGAGAATAAAGATTTCATGCATGCTCCATTCTGACTCCAGCAAAACATCACAGTATGTTCACCCTACCTCTGATTTAATCTGGGAAAAAGATATGTAATATTTTCCGATTTTATGCTCATTTGGCAGTCCGAAAGAGTGCTAATTGATGTAGGTGTCTAGTGCAAGAACAGGTTTACAGAACAGAACTGTATTCTCTGAAGGGATTTATGACCCCAGAAGAACAGTGAGCTTTTCAATTATTGCTCAATTACAATATTTACATATGAGTTTAACATGTTGATGGTGCTTGGTGATTTTACTTCATTTTTGATCAAATCAATGCAGCAGGACGTAAGTCCTCTGCTGTGTCCTCCGACGAAAACAAACAGCTGCTCTGATTGCCGAAACTGGCCAGAGCGCTCGAAATAGACTTTCAAGGCCCTTACGGGACAGAGTGGATGGAGTGCCTGTTCACTTACTGCGAGCGGCAGAGCTAACAGCGCTATCACCTGGGTTCCGAATGGGGTGGAGAGGACTTTTGGCACATAGCCTTTTTTCGGCCTAAGGACCACCTTACTGGGGCTGAACTCCTCTCTGGAAGGTTCCACAGATAGAGCCTGTAAATCACAAAAAACAAGAGGGCAGTATTTAAGCGAAGGACCGAAGGTCGTCATTTCGGGCTGCTCAAAGGGAGGGCCTCGGAGAGCCCTAAGGACTGTGGAGAGGTCCCAAGACGGGACTGAACGAGGGTGGGGAGGATTCATCCTCCTGGCCCCTCTGAGAAACCTAACAACCAGGTTGTGTTTCCCAATCGATTAGCCATTAGGCTGTGGTTCGCTGTGATGTCTGCCAAACACACTTTGAGTATGGAGGGGATGTGCCCAATATCCAACTGCTCTTGCCGAAATGTGAGAATAGTTATGATCTCGCATTTAAAAGGGTCTGATTTCCTAGCTAGGCACCAGCTAGAGAAAATGCACCATTTCTGAGTGCAAAGGCGCCTCGTGGATGGGGACTCTGATGGTTCCTGATGAGGAGCCAAACATGCAGGTCCCACAGCTACGGTTAGGGGTACCAAATTGTCCCCTGCGCCTGAGAGAGAAGGTCCCTTCTCAGGGGTATTGGCCATGGGGTGCTGACAGCAGCTGGATCAGTTCTGGAAACCAAGGCTGGTTCTGCCAGTGTGTTCCCACCAGAAGAACTGAACACTTCTCCTCCCTGACCCGACCGATGAGCTGCGGGAGCAGGGCTACAGGAGGGAAAGCGTAGAGGCACAGGCGAGGCCATCTCTGGGCCAGTGCGTCCATCTCCTTTGAGAAGAATGTCTGGCAGTGCGAAGAGATCCAAGAGATCGATCTGACCGAATGTGTGACATATTGCGTCGACCACCTGGGGGTGGAGTCTCCATTCCCCGGTTGGAGGACCGCCGCGTGACAGCATGTCTGTTCCTACGTTCGAGGAGCCCAGCACGTGAATCACCCTCACTGAGTGGAGGTTCGTTCGTTTGTGCCCATAAGAGAAGCCGGTTCGCCACTAGGCTGACCATAGCTCGACCAATGGCTTGGGCGGTGGCTTTAGTAGCACGCAGGGCAGGTCAGTTGCGCTGCGCAGCTCTGGTCGGGTCCAGACTTGGCCGCAAGCTGCGAGAGCCCTGGAGGCAAGCACTGATGTGGTCCTGCAAGCCTTGGATGGATGACTGGCCTTGGCCACCCAACCGATTGCTGTAGGCGGGCAGAGGTGTGCAGCGACAGCTTCTTCCACTGGGGGAGCTTCGTGTATCCTTTTTCATCTGCGCCGTTGACTTTAGAGAGAGCAGCCGAAGAAGACTGGACGCGTGCCGAATACGGGGCGTGCCAGGTCTTAGTGAGACTGATGGACTGTACTTCAGGGAAGAAAAAAGCTGGTTGTTGGCGAGGGGGCTGATGACGGCGGCCTGGCTGCAGGAACCACTCGTCGAATTGGCTCTTCTGGGGCCGACCAGTCTTAGCCGAGCTCTTTTACGGATTTTGAGAGGACTCGCAAAAGCTCTGTATCAATCCTAGGCCACGCTTTGTCGGTCTCTTTAGGCGGCGGAGGGGCTGAGTCATGTTTGCTTACTCTAACCAATCGAAGGCGGCCAGAGACACGGAGTCAAACTCATCATCAGACCCGCCAAACGAGACCATACCACTCGCGCCAGATGAGGGGCGTTGATCTTTGTGGGTGAAGAGGACAGGGGACTCGCCGCGCTGAGGGGAAAATGAGGCACTGAGCGCTGCCGGCTCCACTTCTTCTTTCACCTA